CAACCCTTTATCCGAACTGCTTCGCACATGTTCGTTCCCGCGAGACCGTCTGCCTTGCGAACAATCCGTAAAGTTTTATATTCTCCTGTGTCATAGCCAAGATCCCTTCCTCCAGCCAAGAAAATTCAGAAAAACCTTCCAAATTTTCTTCTCCACAAGATTCCTTGTTGAGCCAGAAATTTTACTCACTTTGATCCTGCCAGAAATCACCGCAGATACAACAAAGGAAATCCACCAAAAGAAAATATTTTGCGGCTCCAGTAAATGAAAGAAAATCACATTCCAATTACTCCGCTCCGCTTTCCTTCCAAAATTTTCTCTGAACTTTCCTTTTCGGCGTCCTGAAATAGCTCCGCTGCTGTGCAAAATTTGAAGAATCTTCCAAATTTACTTCTCCGCAGCCTCCAGCAAAAAAAATCTTAATTAAGTTTCCTTAATTTAATATTCTCATTAATCATTTCCTTAATTAAGGCTTTCAAGGAATGAATTATTTTCTTAATTAAGCCTCCAGCAAAAGAATATTTTCATAAAGATTCCCTTTCCTATTTTCCTTTCCAATTTTTAAAGCAGCAGGCTCCAAAGAATATTCCTCAAATATTCCCTTCCTCTCCGTTGGATGAAATTTCTGAAAAGAATTATGAGGGAATATTCTCTAGTGATTCTTTTCCTCAGCCCTTCTCCGCATGCTCCTTCTTTTCTGTTCGCGATCAACACCGAACTCGCAAACGCCTCAGCGAGAGCTCCTCTTCCTGCCGCAAAGGCCATCTCGCGATCCTTCGGCCTGCTCGCGAACTCCTATCACGCCGTTCGACGATTCCCAACCGAATCCGGAGCCCTTCGCGCAAAAGCTCTGCGCCGAACCTGCTCGAACTTCGCCTTGCTTGTTCGCGAAACTTCCTTTGCGAAACGAAACGGAAGCCTCCTCCCGAACTTAAGAAGCTGCGCCGTAGAGACGTACCGAGAATTTCTTTCTCGCGCACTAAATTTCTTCCTTGCCTCTAACCTGGCTCTGATACCACTTGTTGAGCAAATTAGGGCGAAGAAAAATAATAATCGACACAAATCCAGAAGAACACAGAGATTTAACGAGGTTTGACAAAGATGCCTACGTACTCGGGAGCAGAGCGGTGACTTTCTTTTCAATATTCAGAAAAGAATATAAAATACAAAATTCAACTCTCTCAAAGACCTAAGATTACAAACATGTCTATTTATAATCCTAGAGTAAGCCCTATAGTACAATATGTAATTCCCAAATTACCCTTGTACAGTATAGCGGGGCGTTGACCCAACACCCCCAACCCACATAACGTAACTTCCCGATTTGGACAGATTCTTCCGCTTCGCTCCGCTCTGCTCCGTTTCGTTCCAGCATCTGTCCCTATATGATATATGAGTCATACCATAACAAATTGCTATCATAATACAAATTTTATTATTCGTAACAACGTAATTCTATGTGCGGGTTACATACGTAGCTCTGCATATAAATGATGAGAGAACAGTCATGTACTCGTCCTACTTGTGTGTTGTTGTGCACTAGTTGTGTCCTCAATCTATAGTACACAAGCACATATAGAATACACAAATGCATGTTCTCGTGATCATTGATTAGTGTATACAATGAGGGGCATTTACATACACACCACGCATTTCTTATGTATTTGAATATCTAACACTTTACATGCATAACACAAACAATACCACATTCAATTACTTTTAAAAGGTGAAATGCATCTTTTCATGCATAAGTTTATAACACCAAAGTAATATAAATGTAAATATAAAAAAAATAGGTATTAGATACGTAAATACATAAAAATTGTGAGGCATGTATGTAAATTTTCCTAATATCCAATCTTATTTTACGTTTCACCAAATAATTTAGTATAGCAATGATCATTTTACCACCAATTCCATGAAATATTTCAATTCAATGTTTCTCTAAATTTTACACCTCAGATATGTTGCATAACAGCATCAAACTAGCCAATAAACAATAAAACAGATTTGCATTACATGCCTGGTTTGATTGAGGGAGTAAAAATCCGGCCTTTGGATTCTTTTTTTTTTTTTTTTTTGGAATAAAATGAGGTGGGATACGACAACCTCAAACATCCACTGCATCAACTGGTAGAGATTTGGTTCTTAATATAGGAGAAGGTAGAATGTTTCCAGTGTAAAAGCTCTTCGATGTCACCATCGGCTCGGAGATGGCGAAGAAATTGTTGAAATTTAAGTTAACTTTGAGAGCAGGGGCTCGATCATCAGAAGGAATGTGAAATCTGAGATTATTTGCGAAATGAGAAGACTTTACCGTCCCCATTTTCGATCTTGGCAACGAACTACAACTCAAGCCGTCTTCCACATCTGCGAGACGAAGAACCTCCTTTGACTCGCTGAGTTCATGCCGGTTCTCACTTCCATCTTCATCTGCCTCACTTGATGCACATTCATGATGTCTGTTCTCATACTTCACATATGGATCACATAATTCATCTGATGTTTTCTTCCCACCACCAATCTCTTCATCAGTATAGCAAGAAGAACACAAGTGATCACCTTCTTCATTAAAAAGAAATCCTCTTGATGCCTCTCCACGTGAATTAAGTCCATCCGAGTGACTACTAGAGGTCGTCATCGCCGGAGCCGGAGCTCCCTTCGACCCGTCCTCTTCGTAAGTAATCTCTTCGAATCGACCGTAATGCGGCCGAAGATTCTCATAGCCATGACCTTTTGAAGAGAGAAAGTCGAGAGGTGAATTGCATGAGAAAACATCGGATGTGCAATGCTCGCATTGGTTCTTCGAAAGGAAACTTAGGGACTCACTCGTCTTCCAGCCAGGAACCAAAGTTGAGAGCTCGCCGTCAATCATTTCCGCTATCCTTGTTACACCATAGTCAGTAATGCCTAATTCAGAGACCATTTCGTCCGCAACGTTTAGAGCAGTATCGGCTTTGACGTCGAAAGGGAAGTAGATGTTCCTCACATGCCCTGCAAGAACAAAAAATGGTGATGGGTTGGTTCATTGTACTGGCACGAGCAGAGTTCCAGAGAGTAAGGTGTCAAAACAGTCCCCTGTTCATTTACATGGAGTCATTCGATCGGGTGAAATACCTCTTTAAAAGTATGGGGACTAAATTGGAACTAGTTTAAAATTTGGAACTAAACAGTGGACCATTTTGACATTTTCCTTAAACTTTCAGATCTAATATTACCATTTCTATCTGTAATTCTGAGCCTAAGAAACACTCCTCCGTCTTCTTTCCTTCTTCCTTTAATGGCAATATCCACATCACCAAAATGTTCCTCCTCATGATTACTGAAAAGTTCCATACTATGGATTTCTAGATCATCATCAATGTAATCCAACCTGCTCTTCAAGCCTGGTTCGTCGCAAAGGAGGTTCGAAAAACAGTTGTTAATGAATGAGCCATTGCTACGCTGGCAAGTAACAGAAAGTGGAGGAAATATATGTCCAATTTCGACGATATCTCCATTGTCGAGCACGGGATGAAGGCCATCGATATGGAGGAAAGGGTCTTTCAAAAGCTCTGAGGCAGGCAATCTCTGTGATGCGGCGACCAAGCATTTCTCCACAAATCGCCTCACCTCTGGATCCATGACTCGATATAAAGCCTCTGGTTTTGTTCCCTGGAGGAAGGCGACTTGTTAAGTTATTTCAACGAAAAATACTCGATGCAAGGTACTTCTTAAGACATAAGACATTTTCTTATCGAATTGTTCAACATTTCATTGTTTTCAACATGACAAGAATCAGAAATAACTGCATTTTATCACAAATGCATACCGCCCAATTCATATGTATATACATATCCAGCATAGTACACAGTTCCTATGTATTTACATATGTCGCACATAAACATTCATATTTACATACACAGCACTTTGAAGATTTAAATGTGCATGAAAAGGTGTATTTCACTTTTTAAAAAGTGGTCATAGTGCTATTTTTTTTGTAATTTTGAAGATTTGAGTGTTATGAGCATAAAAATGGAAGTATAGGCGTGAGATATGTAAATACATGAGAATTGTGTTCTATGTATGTAAATGTGCCATGTAAAAATTAAAGTTTAGGCGTTATATATGTAAATACAAAGGAATTGAGAGGCATACATATGTAAATCTTCCTTTTTTCTGCAATTTCAAACATAATGAATAAAAAAAGTTCATATTTTTTGTAGACTAAACAATAAACCAGATGAGATCTCTCACCGAAATAATTTTCTTATAGATCTGAGCAGGATGTGTGCATTCACTATAAGGATAATCAAAGGTAACCATCTCCAAGACACACATTCCAAAAGAGTAAATATCCACCAATTCATTGTATTCTTCCTCATAAACCTCAGGAGCCATAAACTCAGGAGTCCCTGAAAACCAAAAAAACTCAGATTTGAATGCAATTGTACTGGAAATGAGGCAATTTTATAGAAGAATGAAACACTCACCAACACAATGGACAGCTCTGGACTTACGGAGAATCGCAGCGAGGCCGAGATCACCTATCTTAACCTCTCCCTGGTTACCATTGATGAAGATATTATCGCATTTCAGATCCCTGTGAATCACAGGAGGATCATGGCTATGGAGGTAGACAAGCCCCATCAGAATTTGCCTGCACCAATGCTTCACTGCCCGGAGATTCACATTCCTGTATCTCAACCTATACCTACATATACAAATCAAGCAAGATAAAGATGAAGATTTAAGCAGAGATGAAGAGGACGGTGAAATCAATGAGGGGACTCACTGCCTAAGAGTTCCAGATGTGAACAGCTCGGTAATAAAATTTATGTTTCTTTTGGTTCTGTCAACCCATGAAGTATAGAACTTCATAATGTTCTTGTGCTTCAGGGTTTTCAGAAGGTGAATCTCGCAGTAAAGCCTCTCCAAATCCTGTGGACTCTGAAGGAAATCATGAAGTTTAACCTGGTTCCAAGCAACCTCAATCCCTTCATATTCATCAAAGGCCCTAAATCTGGTAAAACCCAATCATCCCGAAAAGAACATCAGATCAAAGATCAAAATGTGTTTTCTCCCCTTTTGGGCAACGAGGATTAGGGATCTTACACAGTTTTTGAAGCTCCCTTGCCGAGAATTTCGCTGTACTGCGAGAAACCAGATGAGAAAAAGTGAGGATGAGAGAGAGAGGAGGAAGGAGAAAGGAGACAGCTTCAGGAAGAAGAAGACACAAACCCTTCCATATCTTCCGCTGGGATCAAACTCCACAAAATCTGGGTAATCTTCTTGCTGAGGATTCACGCTTCTCATCCTGATCTTCTTTAACCGAGCTTTCTTATGAGCTAATGGCGCTCTTCCTCAGAGCCTCATGGGATGTTGGGATCTATGAGGAAGAAGAAGGGTACAGAAAAATGGTGGCAGTAACTGCTTGGTCCGCAGCCTCAAAAGATTTTGATTTTTTTATGCATGTGCGAGCAATTTTGCAGTTTAACTTCTCTCTCCTCTTTCTTTATATTGCTTTAATATAAAAGTATTTTAAAGTTTAATTTTTCAATTAATAACATCCAAAATATTCAATATTATATTTTAACCATAAAAAATTAAAAAATTACATTTTAAGATTTAATTTACATGTTTGAGAGTTTCTTTTTTAAAATAAAATAAAATGGTGAAAAAAAAAATCTATGTATCACGTGATAGAAAAATATTTCTGTGATGAAATAATGCTCAATTTATTAATAGAAGAAAAAATTTTAATTGTTTTTTTAATGAGATCTTTACTTATTTTCATTATAAAAGGATGTTTAGGTGTAGGACAGGTGGAGCATGTGGCGGGTCCTCTACTTTCTACCCATTCCTGTCAGCTGTTTCACCATCGACCCTTCACACGTGCTACCGTTGAAGTCCTCGTAAATTTTCTCTTCGCCGATGTTAGAGGGAAGAAAAAATAAAAGTATTTCCTTTTGGAAAAAAAAAAAAAACTTATATAAAGAACACTCAAAAGGCAAAATTTAAATAATAATATTTTTTATAAATTTATTATTTTAAATAAACTTCAAAATATTAAATATTTTAAATAGACAAAATCGTCTGCTGACATGCCAAAGAATCACCACATCAACAAGTTAAATCAATTATTGATACAATAATTTTATTATAAAAAAATTATTGAGAATAAATATATCTTATTAATACTATATTATTAAATCATAGCATTAAGTATTTTTAGCTTAATTTGTAGAGTGTATGCCTTCCAATTTTGAGCTTGTGGGTGCCATCCCCATGATGTTTTTTATTTTTATTTTTAGGTGTGGGTTAGATCCAACAGTAAGTATTTTTATAATCAAATGGGCACATTAATTTGGGCGATTTTAAATAATGGCAAGACAAAATCACTTGTTCACATGATGATTTTATTTATTTACAATATTTTAGTTTTTTAAGATTTATTTAAAATAATAAATTTATATAAAATGTCATTTTTTAAATTTATGGAGGAAGCACCCCCATTAACAGTGTTAAACCATCTCGTTGGAGCTCGCTGAAATGGAGAGCTAGTGGGTAGTGTCGGGATGGTGCTGTATAAGCGGACATGCAATAACAAAAAAACTAATGAGTAATGAAGTGTCTAGAATATATACAACGTAATAAAATAACTTGAATATGGTTTGACAACAAACCCTAAATACGGTATAATAATGCACGCTGAATACAATGCAGCAATACATCGAGAACGCGTCGAATTGAAGATACAATGGTAACTCCTGCTGATAACTGTTTGGAATCGTTGTATTCATAATTCAATGACTTAACTCTGAAATATTGAAGTTTTATCCTTGTGTTGTATGCTAAAAAGTGACGTCTATTGTGTAAAAAATTAAAGAAGTGATGCAACCATTACTGTAGTAATTCTAACTCTTACCTTTATGAGTAGTTGATGCTAATACAATATTCCACCACTACTTTTGTGACTAGTTGATCCTATTGTAGTCTCTTACTATGGTCTTAGTGTCCAATTGGCATTATCACAGTCACCAATCATGACACTTGGTAGCAACAACGATCTATATCAACAACCACAACTTATGTTTTCAAATGCTACGACAACTCTAACCACAACCTTCGTGCCAAAATAAAGCCATTGCAGGCACCAGTTATGATTTTTGCGACTAATTAATACTATTAGATCCTCCAACCACAATCTCTATGGCCAATTACCGCTATTGCAACAATCGTCAATGGTGTTTATGGCCAACAATTGCTATTATAGCTCAAAACTACATATGTTTTAACCCAATTATGACTTTTACGATCAAGCTACTGGTATACATTTGTGGTTATCAATTCTGTAATTCTAACCTCTCTAATTCTAGAGAAGGACATATCATATTTTTACAATTACATAATAAATTATTTTGACGGGCTAGACACCCTTGTTTTTTTCCTCTTTCAATGATCTTACACGTAAAAAAATTCCAGTCTCTTCCTAGTACTTTTCAATTATTAGTGTGCTTTGAATTTTAATACAATACTGAAACATTATAATTATTACTGAGTAGCTGCAAATATTACGACAAATATATTTTTAGGCCCAAAAAAATCTAATATAAACAAAGTGATCTAGGAATGTTCAATAATGCTAAATGCAATGTTTATATAGTAAATGATGAATCTAACATAGTATAACTTATTATTATTATTACTTATCTACTATCCCTGATAATAATTGAAAAACTAGCTAAAAATTATTTAGAAGGTCTAAATATTTGATAAAAGGTGTAATTCTTAACTTTGTAAAAATGTAATGTGTTTGAAATGTTCCAACCAAGTTTTTCCCTCACACCCTCAACCCTTTATGTCATCCAAATCTTGTGGTGGTTATTTTTTAATTGTATTATATCAAGCATTAACACAAAGAACAAAACAACTATAATGAACAAGTAAATTCATATTAACCAAAAAGGTTTAGAGAATGCTCGCATGAGATCACAATTGAATCATATTGATTTTATTTTCCAAAATAATCTGTAATAGTTATTCAATCATGGTTGAAATTCAACTTTTGAAGGAATAAGACTTGATTATGATATCTGCAAAATTTGATAATTAAAGATAATTTGATGGTGATTTAATTATATTTTGAATATTTTGAACATTAATTGTTTTTTTTTTTGTATCATTCTCTAAAGATTATTGAATTATAGTTTAAATATGAATATGATTTATCATTAATCAAAAAAATTCATGGTATATGATATAATGAATGTTGGATTTAAAATGTAAAAAATATATTCAATTTTAAATAACAAACAAACAACATCACATTCATAATAATGAATGAAAACAAATCATCAACGTAAAATTTCATCTTATCCCAAACGCACAAGCCAACAACCAGTAACAGATGTAGAGAATATTGGGACAAAGACATGCTTAAGGGCCTTAAGCTCTTTAATGACCGAAAAGCTGTGTAACTGTTCAGCAATAGTTTAGGTTTTATTAGTTAAAAAATTGAGATGAGTTGTTATAAAAAATATATATTTTTTCCTAACAAATATATATATTTTTTCAATTTTAACTATTTTGAGGTTATAAAATTAAATTTCTGTATCGCATGATAATACGTATTTTTTTAAAAGAATTAATAATGGTCATATTTTTGACGTGATATTAAAGATTTAATTGTTACAAATATAAATATGAAATCTTAGAGGGTAGATATGTAAATACATATGACTAGGGTGGAATGCACGTAAGTATTCCTAAAAGATTCAAATACATAGCACCTCAAACATGATAATTAAAAAAAAAAAAAAAACCTAGCGCTTGTTCATTTTTTTGAATAATGAAATTAGTGATATTTCCTTCATCATATCAAATTATTAAGAATTTTATAAAAAATAATAAAAAAATGCATTGAGATTTTATTCAAAATTTAATAAGTTGGCGACAGTTTGCAAAATGTATGAAAGGGAGTGCTAGTTTTGTAAAAAGAAAGTTTTGAGCGCTGCTATTTAAGAAAGAAGGCTGTTTCGGGTTGGGGGGCATCGAAGGATGCAGAAAGCGCGAGCAGCCGAGTGAGAGGGTGGGAAGAGTTTGAGCGCTGGACCGAGCGGAGGAGCCGGCCATCGGATTCGGAGAGATCACTGTTAAGCTGGGAGGCTTAACAATGCCCTAATCGTTCCGCGTCAATCCTTTCCTTTTCATCCAGTTTAAAATCCGGGAACTGAACCGGATAAAGGGATTATTCTTGAGGTATAGCTTGTTCATATTTCCCAGCCGTAATTGCAATGAGATTTTAGCATTTAAGCAGTACGTTTTGATACTTAATGGGTGACTCAATGTTATTCTTCAATTTAACCAACTCTGATGATCTAATAAGCACGCATAAACCATGAATTAAGAGAAAGGGTGATTATATAATGTCATCATGTTTGCTAGATTACTGTTTTTGGCTTATGAGTATTGACATTACGTAGCATTCCTATGTTAACGGTGTTTATAAAATCGAATTGGAACTTGGAAGCGAGAAACCCTAACTTCAGAAACAGGGCGTTTGGTATGCTTTAGAAAATAATTGAGTTTAGGCAGTGTTCATGTTTGAATTGATTACTGTTTTGACTTATGTGTAACTATAAAAATTGCTACCGTGGTTAGTCTGAGATTTTGTGATAAGTATTTTTGCAGCTTAAAATGCATATGTAAATGGTGTGTACAAAACAGTAGTGGAGCTTGGAATGCATAACACCTAACTCAAGAAAAAGTGCTTTTTATATATTTTATAAAATAATTGGATATAGGTATTATTCATGTTTTTGTAGATTAGCTTATGTTTAATTATATTCGATCATATCAGTGGTAGTCTAAGATTATGTATTTGCAGAGATTGGAACTTGGAATTGATATGCCCTCACTCAAGAAAAGGGGTCTTTCATATGATTTATAAAATAATTGGGTTCAGGTATCTTTCATTTTTGATTGATAAGGATTTTGGCAATTGATATAAAACCTCAGGGAGGAGTGTCACTCGCTTATGAAAGAACTCTAAATCATAATTAGGTTGATAGTTTGGAATTATATTTTGTATTGACTTGAAGCTATCATAGGTTCCACTTTTCAGTGTTGCAATATGCTTCTTGTTCATATGTATTTATTACATGCAAGAAAAATCATAATTGGCTTAGTTAAAATAATCCATTATGTGCATGATGTTGCATAAGTTCACCTTTCCTTGTAGTTGGAGAGATTATATTACAAAATTGGGAGTATTTGATTGATCGCTTATGAATGCGGTGAAAGTAGTGGAGGGTGATGACAATGTTTTGATGAAGATGATTGTATGTTGATAATTTAGAAGTGAAGGTTGGGAGACTAGAAACTAATAGAAGATGACAATTGTGCAAGGACGATGACGATAAGACAATGGCTGTGGACGATGGTTGGGAGATGATAGTCAAGTAATAGCAATTGGGAGAGGTCGGTTTAGAGATGGCATTCGGTTAATGGCGGTTCGATGACAATGGCCCGACAATGATGATTGTGCGATGAAGTTCGAGCGATAACAATGGTAAGATAATGGTGATTGAGTCGGTGTTGGTCATCAGATAGAGCTTTAAAGCTTTCTTGTATTTAAGCTCTCCTTAATTTTTAGTTTGGCCATTTTTATGATAAAAATGTGGGTCTATTTCTAATTCTGAGACCTCTATTTTTTTTTATTTTGGCCTTAACCTCAAAATTATTCATTAGGCAACCCAAAGTATTTTCTTTTATCAAAGACTATTGATTAAACATTTAAGTGCCTCAATGATCTTAGAATTATTTGATATTTTGCTCATTGGATTTCTCTCGTCGTTGTGTTCAATTTTGACTATTAACATAATGAATTCAAGATTGTCAAACATTTCTAGAATTTGTAATCACACTTGAAAATACTTGATATGGTATCATTTGAATTTTATTTGCATCACTTTTGGTATGATTGGCTTCATTTTGTTGAGATGTTCAGTTTGACTATAAGTTTGTTGAAATCGAGTTCGGATGGTTTTTAAATTACTTCCGGAAGTTTTCAATTTTAAAAAATTATTATAGCTAATGCTTGATTGGATGGATTTTTTGATGAAGTATCAACATTCTATTTTGATTATTTTCCCAGCTAAACAATGCTACTACACATAAGACTAGTAATACAACTATTAAATGCATAATTATCATTACTTGTACTCTAATTTAGTGCAATTGGATTGCTCAGACGTATTAGTAGTAACGATGAGTCCATGATTTGGTAAACTCTTGCCTATCAGATGAATCACACATAGTAAAGAATTGCATTATTGGCTTTGCATAATGTAGTATATCTAGTATTACATAACATTTAAGGCATGGGATATCTTATAAATCATGATTCACCACTTCACTCCATCATGTTCCATTTGTTTCAATTCACTAGTCATTCTTTTCATTTATTTGACCAGTACATTACATTATGCTGGCTACTTTGAATGAGAGATCAACATCTTAGTTTAAGGTAACTCAAGAATGCAATTATACAACAACAACAACAACAACAACAATAAAGCCTTAATCCCACTACGTGGGGTCGGCTACATGAATCCTTTTTCTCCATTGCGTCCTATTTAGTGTCATATTTTCATTAAGTTCTAGTAAATTAAGATCATTTTTAATACAATAAGCCCAAGTCTTCCTAGGTCTACCTCTGCCATTCTTAACACAAGTCGAATTTAAAACATCTACTCTCTTAATCGGATCATCTAATGGTCGACGTTTAATATGACCAAACCATCTAAGACGACTTTCTCTAATTTTGTCTGTCACAGGAGCTACACCAACCCTATCACGAATATATTCATTCCGCATTTTGTCTCTAAGTGTAAAGCCACTCATCCACCTAATCATTCTCATCTCAACAACACTTAACTTATTATTATGCTTCTCTTTTAAAGGCCAACATTCAGCGCCATA